GGTAGAGAGAGACTGTGAGGGGTGTGAGGGGGTAGCTTTCCCAGTAGGTGACTTCAGTGGCTCTCAATGCAGCTCTCAGTCTCTCTCAGAGTCTGCTTTGCCTTCCGGATCACCACCTGCTTGCCTGAAACCGGTAATGAAGGACTTTATTATTAGCCAAAAAGTAAAAGAAAAAAAAAAAAAAACAGGTGTGCTGGAGGTAGAACACAAAATGTGGACTAGCTTGAGGGAGAGCTAAGAATTGGGTCAAGAACCACTCAGCTATGTCAGAAGCAATGCTGGAGCTGGATCCCATCTGCACAGGGTGTGGTGCAACTGATGCCAAGTCAACAACATGTGAGAAACAAGGTCAGCAGCACCTCAAACCGCAGGCCAGGGGAGTGCGGAAACCACCGGTGTCTGCTGGTGCAGATGCACGCCATAATCACAAGGTGGAATGAAGATACAAGCAGCCACTGACTGCTGAGACAGCCACACCGCTGCGCTCATTGTTGTTTACGCATTTGCATGGAAAGAAATGATCGTGACTGATGATGCCAAGGGCCAAGGCACTTTGGGCTACCGTTTTCTGATTTCACCCGACTGATGTAATCGCTGTTCTCAAATTGGTTAATGTGAAAAACGTTTTACTGGGATCTAGAATTTCTGTGAGCATTGTTTGGTACAAAGAAATTCGACGACTCATCTATGTTATCAAAATGTCTACAATTTTTCTGTAGACACTGCCTTAATTAAACTTGGGAGTAATACTTTGCTGCTTTGCTATATATTTTTGACTATTTACAAGCATCTATTTTATTAGAAAACACCTACATGGAACAAAATTAACAAAATCAAACATTAAAATATGGATACATTGTCATATTCAATGTCGGGTAAATGTGGCTTTAACACACTGTACAAAAATGTATTTCAAAGGCGTTTTGGCAAAACCAGAAAAGAGAACCAAGCAATATGGTGCCGTAATTGTGCAAGACCAGCTCAGGTATCAGCAAAAACAGACATGCTGTTTGCCGATACACAAAGACTCCCTGTTATGGGAAATGTCTACATTTCAGATACACAACAGTCTGCCCACGTCACAGCAATGAAATCTCATTATCCCCTACTATGGGCACGGTACAGCCTGCCACAAAACCCCCCCCCCCCCCCAAAAGGGGAAGGCCAGCCAAACAGTTCTGTAATCAAGATGTTCCGTTTCATTATAGCAGTATTGTTTCGAAGTCATGCTGAAAGGTCACTCGGGGCGGAGAAACGTAAACACCTCCGCACTGGGCCGAATCAGGCGCCACGCCTCCCAATCTCAGCGGGGTCACTGTCGGATCAACATTTTCTGGAGCCATACGACCGATCCATTTTATTGTCCCTGTGCGCTTTTACACGCCAATGAAATGCACAGCTCTCTGTCATAAGAACGGCAGAAACCTTCTGCGTAAGCCGCCGCATGTGCGGAAAGACAGACATCCAGGAAAGAGCTAATTGAGGCATATTAAATTCCAAGGAAAGATCATGCTGGTGCAGGTCGTTGTTTCTCCCCCTTTCCCATCGTCAGGGCTCAACATTTTTAATTGCTGTGTTCTTGCCATGGCAACAAGCTGTGAGGCACCTTTGGGAGATGACAAGTGATGCAGATGAAAATATTCCAAATCATTTCATTAATCAATGTGCGAATGACACCGGTTTCAGGTCAGGCATCCGTCCTACACAATTCTTACACATTTTTTTTAATTTTATTTGATTGGTCTTCGACTGAACATGTGAAGGCATGTTTATAAATTTGAGCTAAACGTCACTTACCAAATGGTGAAACAGATTTACCATCGTGTCAAGTCAAAGTATTTTTACTGCAGCTTCTGCTGTATGATGCGTGAGTCATACAGTGGGATGGAACCGTCTCTCTTGGTCATAGTGCAAGACAAAAAACATTTTGGCTTACATGTTTGTACCTAAAGATATTATTTTCATGTAAAAGTGTTAATTTTGCCTTAGGGGTATTGTTGCAGTATTACCATTCATTTTTGTAATAAAAGTATTTCCTTGAACACAGTGCAATAGTTAATGGGATGCAAGAAAATGACAAAACTAACCAAAATTGGACAAAAATATACATCTTATCATACAAATAGCTGGTTTATTGAGGGTTACATGCAACAAAAGATGAAAGATAAAAAAAAAATGTATCTAGTTTAGTGTTGCTTGACTTTTGGCTACTAATTTGGGGGAAAGGGTTCTATACATAAGACAAATACTGCATTTCATTGTACCACTTTTGGAAAAATTCTCAAGTTCCTGAGAAAGACCCATGTTTTAACTTGTGTTTAATAGTTTAACTTAAAACTTGCGGTATACATATTTATTTTCAACAAAAATATTACTTGCAAGCAAGTACAAGCTGAATTTCAATGCTTTCAAAAAAAAGTTCGCTAAACAGATGGCAATAAGACAAGAGAGGGTATTGTATTATAAGTAGGGTTGTTAAAGTTTTTTTTAATTGCACATCTTGGCAACTAGATTTGGTGCTGCTGGAAGCTTTGCACTTCCTGGACATCCCTGTGAGCCATCCCTGTGAGCCATCCATGTCATTTGGTCCAGCTATCTAAGCTGTTCTCATCTCCACACTCACCAACTTCTACAATTTCTAGAACTACTGGATGGATCACCTGGAATTGTAGAAGAAGAAAAAAAAAAAGAAGTGTTTTTACCTGAACGCTGCGAGTCCTTGTCACATGTAGGTCTGAAAGAATATTTATTTATTGTACATTTAACTTGCATGACAAATTTGCAGAATCTTTCCCGACCAATTAGGTGGTCACTTGTATTTCTTTCAACGCATTTTAATGTACGTGTTTGAAAATGTCATTTAAAATGATATATATATTAAATTAGTGCTGTCAATGTTAACCCGTTAACAGTTCTGATTAATCTGGAAACCATAACATGCAATTTTGTTTTTAATGCAAATGAATCGTATACGCCAGGGGTCTCCAACTCCGGTCCTGGAGAGATACTATCCAGTAGGTTTTCTATCCTACTTGGCTTCTGATGAGCCACACCTGGCCCTGGTATTTAATGTTAAGGAAACGTTAAAGAATTTTATGTAAATTTTGTTTGATAAAAATTCCAAAACATTATGGGGTCAGACCATTTACAGAGCAATAAATCTGTTACATACATGTAAAAGGGATGTGCAGACTTGTCTCAAATTGAAACATCCAGTGTCAGCTAGCTGCCCAAAGTTGGCAACATGGCATTTATTGAATCTCTTCTTAGTGAAATATGGAACTTTCCGCCAGCACTGTTTATGAACCAAATCAGTTTTTGGTAACCAGGTAACTTAATTTATGGGGTTTTCCATAAATGTGTGGTGCTTGTTTAGTAGGATTTTCCACTAAATACTACTCCGACGTTTCAAAACTATGTTCTCTTTCGTTTGTTTTGTCAAGATTGCAAATCACTGTGCTACTAGGCCCTGTTCACACCTGGTATTCACATGCGTTCTGCATGACCCGATCACAAGTGGGCCGCACTAATTACAGGTGTGAACGCACCCAAAAGGGATTGAAAGCACATCAGGATCGGATTGCTCAAACCACATTTGGAGGTGGTCTGGGACGCATATGGCCACATTCTTATAGCAGTGTGAATGCGAATGTGTCCTGGCCTGCATTGAAGGACTGCCTACTCAGCTGGTGCACTCATGTGGGCACAAGTATGTACATATGCATTAGACATGCAAGCGGTATTTGACATATGATTTACATCAGAACATCTGTCAGGGCAGAGGGGGCCCTAGTTGCTGTTAAAAGCATAAAATGCTTCCAGACCTTCAACCCCTTATCTGCTGTTTTTACAGTGCATGTGCATGACATCACGGCAGGCGGCAGTGACTGTGCTCAGACCCACTCAGTCAGTTGAATGCCGCAAAACACACATCTAAGCCCTGTTCACACCTGATATTAACATACGCCCTGGGTGATGCGATCACAAGCGGACAGCGCTAAATATGCCCCTTCACACCTGGCACTGCCATACGTTTCCGCATGAGTCTTGACTGACCACTTGTAATCGGATCTTATTTTCCTGCAGCCTATTTAAATAAGCACATAAATCGCTTCCGTATGCAGAATCTGCCAAACATTAAAAGGAGGAGAAGTCGTCAAATGCTATTGGCGCATTCCAGGGTAAACAAACAGCTTAAGATGTTTGTAATGAACGTCATAATACTCTAAATGAAATTAATGTATGAATACATAAATATTTCAATAATTAAGGTGCAATTTTATTTTTAAAGGGTATTATATTTAACATTTATCTTCTATGTATAGTCTTTAAATTGTATTTCGTAATAACATTGTGATTTTCATTTGACAGTCATTAAATATTTTTTCCCCCCGCATACTGCAAAAGTGATTTCTTAATTCAAACTATATTTCACAATAATGTTCAACTTTTCGCTTTGTAGGCATGGATTTTAATACCTCCATTTGTGGTATTAAACTTGTGTCCATCCTTACCTACAATTAATTTTGCATTCAAGTAATTTTGTAATCACAAATATTAATAAAGTGTGGAGCACCTTTGACTTAAATAAGGAAGCTTTATGAAAATGCACATTAAAATATGCGATCTGTGTAAATTCCAAAACATCTAATAAATCACTGCTTACATAATATATTTTTCCCGAATTTGCGCACGTAACATTAATGATGCACACTTTGACGGTTCCATCCGAATGGGTCGCAACAGTACGATACTAAAGAGATCCCAGGAGATTCAAACATTTTTTTTAGTGTTGTAGGGGGGAAAAAAATGCGCCGTTGTTCACAATGCAGTTTAGTACACAAAGGCCCAACTCTGCACTGAGACATTCTGACGTAAATCATACAAATGCCCGGACAAAAAAAAAAAAGTTGCCATTTGAATTTTTCGTTGGGCCGCCTTTAGCTTTGATTATGGC